ATGTTTTTATTATTATTATTATTTTTGGTGCACAGACATGAATGTGTTGCTGCAGGACATGACAACAACAAAAGCTCGAGAGCAAAGTCAGGTCTCAGTTACAGCGAACAGCTGAGCTCAGTTGTCGGCAACAAGAAAAAAAAAAAAGAAAAGTGTCACTGCAGTTTGCGTCGCTGGAACATGACAGCGGCGTTTCCGCACTTGAAGAGAGGTGCAAAAAAAAAAACTGCGGCGTATCCACACACACACACACACACACACACACCGGTCCGCATTGGAGCTGTGTACGATTCAATTTTTACAAGTCATCATCAGCAGCCCGGCAGGAGGGAAAACTAGGCCTGTAGCTATATTGAGCACCACCCTGCAGCCTCTATTTCAGATCCCATTTAAATGCGACATGTGCCGTGTGTGTGGTGTGTGTGTGTGTGTGTGTGTGTGTGTAGTGTGTGTGTGTGGACCTACACGGCCGAAAAGCAGAAACACACACATTTAAAGGGCTTTTCTCTTTTCTCCCTTCTGCTTACCTGCAGATGTTCCTGAAACCGTATGGGCAGAATCTGAGCCATGTCTGAGGTGGTTTCTCTGCCCGAAGGAGCCGAAAGGAAGGAAGGAAGGAAGGAAGGAAAAAGGAGGGGGAAGGGGGACAAGCAAGAGGATAGAGGTGGTGGTCTTCTTCTATGTGTGCCCTAAAAGAAAAAGCCCCCCAGGAAAAAGTCCAAAAATGATGGGCAAAGCGGCGGCTCGTCTGGGCGGCTTGCTGTTGGTATCACACGAATCCAGTGACTGCTCCCATTCAGCGGCCCCCCTACGCCAGTCCTGGATCAAAAACTCCGCACCTCCGCTAAGAAAACTAGTCCACTGGAAGTACTACGGAGCGCTTCCTGGAGTCTGGTGATGAGAATACGGAGCCGTGCCTGGAATATTTTTCTTTTTAAAAATCGCGGTGGAATCTTTCTTCTTTATTTTATTATTATTATTATTATTTTTAATTTCACAGAGCTGTCAGTGCGTTTGGTCGGATGTGCGGCGTGTAGCCCTCCGCCGCAGCCCCTTCCCCCCGTTCCTTTTCCACCAACTTCGAAAAATCAGGGCTCGTGACATGCGCCCCACCTTTTGCGTGGTTTCTTACCCCCTCCAAAGAAATTACGCAGATGTGTCCGGAAGGTGTGTTGTTCTGGGGTGGGTTTTTTTTCCACAAGAAGCTATAAACAGAATTAAATCATGCATCTGTTGGACTTCTGCAGGAGCTCCCATCATCACAGTGATGCCTGCTGAGCAAGTTGTGCACAGTTGAAATGCACAAAGTGACAAAATAAAGGGAAAAAAACTGAGCCTTTGACCCCTACAGTGAGGAGATGTGATTCTGTGAGGCTATTTTATGATTATATCCTTTGTATCGCAGCAGCAATAGTGCAAAAATGTGGAGAACATCAGTTTTTTTTTAAAAATGCATGAGTAGTGTAGAAATTGTCCAGATTATTCTATATGTGGAAAATCTAGATTTTGCACGGATTCCTCAGAATGTGGAAAATACCAACATTGCACAGGGTTGTTCTACAAACAGGAAAAACGAGGGATAGACTAATTGTCAGGGCCGATATTGTTATCTTCATTGACCAATTACTGATAAATTATTTCTCTGTCTGTAGGGACTCTGTGGTCTCAGAGGTACAACCTGCAAAAACAGAACAAGAAACACAAGACGTCGCCGCAAACCGACTAAATATCTGCTTTCACAGTAGCTGAGAAGTCGGCAGCCACAGATTAAACCAATAAAAGAAAACAATAAAGAATGATGCTGTAAGATTTGGGCCTTAGTGTGCAAATAAAGTGATAGTAAAATATAACATTTTATATTTATTGGTTAGTTATTGGTTCGTCTTGATTACCTCCTTCCATGAAAGTACTGATATTGCACATTTTGCAGCTATGGATTAGTGAAGGGTTTCTGCAAATCACTACAAAGTTGTTCTGAGTGATCACATTTATCCCCATGATTAAACATTTCTCCTCCAGAGCGACACTGCGTCCATCCACAGGGCACGAGGGGTCATCGAGTGGTTTGGTGAAAGTGATCGGAGTCATATGTGATGGCCTTCACAGCTACCAGATTTCACCTCGATCCTTCACATACATGTTAGACCCACAGTGCTCTCCACTGCCATCATCATAACACACCCAATGAGGGAATATCTTTTAGAAAAATGGTGCTCCATCCCTCCAGTAAAGTTCCAGGAACCTAAAGAATTAATGTTAAGGTGCAATGAAGCTGCTCTGGCTGCATGTTGTGGCTAAACACCTCACTAAGTCACTTTATGCATGTGTTTCCTTTACTTTGTCATTTATCTGTATATGATTAAGTCTGTGGACACATTTTTGCAGATGGAAAACAAATGAAAATACCATAAAATTCAGGTTTTAGACTATTTAAAAGTCATGGCCACACTCTAAGAAGTAATTCAGGGGAACTATTACCACCTCTCAATTAGATGTATGGATGCAAGATAAAAATTAGGTGGTTCAGTGGATAGCACTGTTGCCTTGCAGCTGGGAGGTCGCCGGTTTGTGTCCCAGTGAGGACACTTTCTGCGGAGTCTCCATGTTCTCCCCGTGCAGCGTGGGTTCTCTCCGGGTTCTCCTGCTTCCTCCCACAGTCCAGAAACATGCTGAGGTTAATTGGTGATTGTAAATTGTCCGTAGGTGTGAATGTGAGTGTGCTTGGTTGTCTGTCTCTAAGTGTAGCCCTGTGATAGACTGGTGACCTGTCCAGGTGAACCTGCCTTCACCCTGAGTCAGCTGGGATAGACTCCAGCCCCCCATGACCCTAGTGAGGATTAAGCGGTGTATAGATGATGGATGGATGGATGGATGTATTGATTTTTTTATGTCTACGACAAGGTTGCTCTTTTATATTTTCTCATGAGTTCATCAACATTTTAAGTCGTTACGTCATTAAAATTGATTCAAGGCCAATAAATGAAATGTTAAAAAGATAAATGTAGTAATTTGACTGAAATACACCACCATAAAATGAATGGCTGGTTAAACAAACTAGTAACTTTAATTATGATGGTTAATTTTATGAAGAATGTGACAGGTCACGTGACCACAGGTTCGTTAAGGAGCACACCTGTTGCGTTGTGGACCACACGTAATACAGCGACAGAGGAAAACCAGACGGTCTCAAAATGACTATATTCTGCAACCTCCGAGAGGCACACACGGTAATTAGTGATTTCTAACTTTTATTTATGTGTAATATTTGTCAAAGTGTATTTATATGGACGGTTTGATGCATTTGCTATCGCGAGGTGACACATGTGGACCCGTCTATCAACTGGGACCAACGTAACAGACTAATGGTTGGAGTTCGTCTAATCAAGGACGCTTTCTTGGCAAAACTTTAAATAACAACGAAGAAATGTGTTTAAACCTTTGCCTGTATGTCCTGTTTTATTGATATTATTTATTTTATTTTATCTTATTTTATTTGTAGTTTTCATGGTGTCTGCTGATAAAAGGTGGAAATAAATGTTCAAAACACATCTATATATTAACATTTTAAATTAGAAAACTTTTGATTTTGATGGGTTGTGTTGACGTAATTCTATTAGTAATTATGCTAACCTACCATTTTGCTTAACTTAAGCTAAATAGTTTTGCATTAAATAATTTAAAACAAAATCCAAGTTGCAGTAAAATAATAAACTTGACTGGATTTTTCTCTACTTTTACTTCAGGATTGCAAAACTCCCCCAAAAACTTGTGTTTATGCTACAAATTATGAGGCAATGGCTAAATTAAAATACTGCCGACCGTAGAATAAAGACTCAGCCCTGAACTCAGTAGAGTTTGTTGTTTCGTTACAGATCGTCATAACTCAAGAAGAGTGGTGCAAACTGTTGTGTTTTACAGAGAGAGAGTCTGAACATTTGTTTTAGGAGTGCATCGAGGCCATAAGCTGCCAGTTTGTGGTTTGTTTGAGAAATGCTTGCTTTCAAAATCACTAAAGTGTATACACTACAGACATGAGTCGGTGTTACACACAGGATGTGGACGGCATAGATCATTTGTAATCAAAAAGCTCCTCTTCCAAATTATTTGGGTTGCACAATGCAGTTTTAACTTCCTGCACTTAAAAAAAAAAAATAAGGAAATAAATATTTACTGTTAAGACACTCATGACCAGAATGAGCTACAGAAAGCTTAAAGACAGAAGTTCTTGTGTTGCAAATCCATGGGCCAGACGTGGCCAACAGGCTCTGGCACTGTGTACTTCCTGTAGCAGAGCAGAGGCAATATGTCTCAATAACATTATGTTTTCCTGATAATTATGTCTTAATCTTCTCAGGCCCTGCTTGTGGCCACAGAGTTTTAGATGCTGATCATTTTTGTGCCAAAACTACACGCAAAACCTGCAAAAGGTAACTGGAATCTGAACAAGAAGCGTATGATGCACTGCGCTGCGGGCTCAGGCTCAGTTTGTCGTCCTGTAACCGAGCTACAAGATGCCCTGCACCCACCTGCCAAATTACACCGGCTCCAGGAAGTTATTTAGTGCTCATTTACCCCACCAGTTTATGCAAATACTGCATCTGCAGTCGCACAAGCCTCTGCATTTTCAGCCAGAGCTGAAATCTACCGTGTCACAAGATTAGACAACTTGAAACTGAGCTATTACTACGAACACATAAGTCACTTTTTAAAAAAAGTAAAGGACATGAGAACATGACTGCGCCTGGCACGCCGAGCTAAAAACGTATGATGCTTGCTCGGTTTGCAATTTCGCGACTTCTTGGCACATTCCAGCCACAACTTGGCACTTTAGAGGTTGGATCCGGTCCATGAGATTCATTTAATTTCAGTGACTGTTTTTCTTCCTGCGACAAGTTGACATGTGTGCGAAGCGGTCAAAATGATGAAAATGTTAAATTTAGCTCTGATGTGACGGGATAATGTTGATGTTTTTACACTCTCAGAAGTAAATCACACACTTATTATTCTGCCATGTGGTATTCCAGGCTGAGGATTTATGGTTTGGCCACAGAGGAGATGGTTTCACCCTGACAGGAAGCAGCGTGTCTGGTCAGCAGCAGCAGCAGCAGCAGCAGCACACACACACACTACTACACAACAAACACACACATTAGGGTTTACTCACAGGCTTTCATCAAGCATCAGTCTTTCGTAATGTACTTAATCCTCTAAATGAACCACAGAAACCCCAAACAAAGACATGTGGTCGGTTAAAGTTCAGGTTAGCTGATGGTTTCTGGTCAGCAGCAGTAAACACAAGGAAAGACAGCGAATGAAAACAATAGAACGTGGATGTATTTAGGTCTATATTGCACAATATCTACAATATCACACTGGAAGGGCAGCACATGAGACATCAAAGTAGTGACACTGACTTGGGAGGCAGATGCACACTGAAGTAAAATAGGTCATTGAAACCGATGTTTATCTGTTAGATAGGGTTGCTATAGTAAATGTAAATGAGCAAAAAGGAAAGAGGTGATGGTTAACGTTTTAGCTGCAGGCTTTTCTGAGGTGGTTTGATGACTTTCCACAGCAGAAATATACAGTTTTTAAAAGTCAGTGAGACAGAGCAGTTCGACAGCAACACCGTCATTGTTTCATCCAGAGGCAGAAACACGCAGACTTAATGACTATTAAAGTAAAAAACCCAGTTTCCTTTTTACTAGAGTTCAGTTAACCTTGTGCAATGATGATGACGGGGTGCACGAGAGAAAAATCGCTCCGTCAGGCCACAGAACTGAGTGAGTTTTACGCCGTTGCTGCTGCTGAGTCATGAAGGCTTTTCAACATCTCCGACAATATTTCAGTAAAGTTTGCATCATCTGTTCTCGATTATTAACAAAACAGCGTCTCGGCTGCGCGACCGTAAATATACATGTAAGAGTGACACACAGTCAGTCTGCTGTGTTTCCAAGAAGGGAAACTTTCAAACTGTGCCGTTATCCTTGTGACTCATGTGAACACGGCTTTAGACGGGCCAGTGGAAGTGCAGCTTTAAGGGCGCACAGGGTGAGTTAAATGAGCCGTGTGCTTGGCCTGACTCTTGCTGTCAATCAGAAGCAGCTGGTTATTCTTGTGGTGAGAAATCATCTCGTCCAGGCTGGTGAAAATCTAAAAGAGAGGAAGATAAAGGCCATTCAATGAAAAGCCTGGAATAGTCCTGAAGTCGCAGTCCCTTTCTCTTTGGCTTTTTCTTCTCCCGACCCGTCTTACCTCTTCGTTCTTCTTGCCCTCCTTCCCCAGGGCGTAGCCTTGCGTGTCCTCCAGGAAGCGGATGGGGATGTTGTACACCTTCTGCTGGTAGAGCACGGCCAGGGTGAACGGCTGGCGGGCGCTCTGAGCCGAGCTGTGCCGGATGAGGAAGGCACCGTCCTTCAGGAATAAGAAAAAGTGAGGGATGGATGAATGAAGGCAGTGTAAAAAAAGGACTGTACGTATGAAGGTGTCTGATTCAGGTTTCATTTAAATTTCAGGTTTGTCAGCAAAAGCGTGCACATAAACACTCAGCAGATTTCTTTACTGTCGGAGCAACAGTCTTGCCTCGAGGCCTCGTGTTTGCTGGAAACTAATTGTGGTTGAAATTGTTCATTTCAGCTCAAAGTGAGACTCCTGGTTTACCTTGTTGAGTCTCATTAAGAGTTCCTCCGCTGTCCTTCTGCTGCAGTCTCCAGCAAACCACTCTTTGTCCTGGAATATGCAGAAAATACATCTATAGCGGTGTCTGACAGTAGAGGAAGTACATTTGCACGATGCTTTGCCACTTGATGCTTGTGATTCACCGTGTTCAGCGGGAAATGATGTGATATTTACTCAACTACTGATGTTTTTAAATTACGTTTTACACTAAATATCTGCACAATTCTTCACACAGGTGGTTTCCTTTAAAAGTTTGAGTACCAAAGAGATCAAATGATTCAATATTTCACTAAATAACACGTTGATGAGAGCTCCTACCTCGTCCATTAATCATCTCACAACCGCTCAGATTTATCTTCAGACTCTTTGAATTGTTTTTTTTTTTTTTAAACTATCTAATGGCATATGAAGTTCTGCGTATACTTGATGCATCAGTACCAACAAATAGGTTCTATGTCAGTGATCAGGCTACTTTATTGTCATTCATACAAATTACATCAAGCATGCACTGGAGAACGCAGTGACGATGCAGGTCAGCGATTTAAAAACTCACACAGTTAAAATACCTGAGATAGATTTAAATAAGTTATAAATACTGTTGCAGTGAGTGAAAATAAATAAGAGATTATTGCACATGTGAAAGGCAGTCGAGTGTCTATGTTAATATTAATATTTACAGTCCTCTGTTTAAAAGACAGAAAGAAACTGTTCAGTATTAAGATGGATGTGTTTTAATCGGACAGCCTTGCTATCTGACAGGTTTTAAGTTTAGTGTCGGATCATCGAGTCACGACTTTATATTCAATTATAGTTAAAGGGAAAAGCTAACTGAGTAGCCTGGATAGCTGGATGGGCTGATTAACAGCCTTTGGACTGGAAGGTCACAGGTTTGCATCCAGCTTTCTCCAATTATCTTCAACAATTTCCCTGAGGTACCAAAGGCATCAGTAAAGTTCTATCTAATATTGAACAGTTGCTCTCAAAATAGTAAGAATTTGTAAACTTTATTCAAGAGTAAAAACACATTTATGGCTGAAATGTTACCAGAAGCCCTCAAGTTGCTTCATGTCATCATTTTAAGGGGAAAACACAATGAAAGGTTGACCAGGCGTCGTCCTGACACAAGCAAGAATGACTTTTACAAACTCTGCTTATAGAGCTGAACGTAACAGCTGATGCTACGTTAAATCACCACCTACATGCAACCTATAAGAAACGTTGCCGTACTCAGGTTCAGACAACAAACGCACACCTAAGGGATGATGCACTTTCTTTAAACACCAGTGTCATTGGCTATTCTTTAATTATTTTTTTGTCTTATTAAAAGTTTGAATACCTTTTCTACCACTGCTAGATTATTATGCAGATCGATACCATACCTCATTCCCAGATTGCCTGGTTGGCCTCATCCCACCAAAGGAGGCTGGAACAAAAACAATCAAACAGAAGCTTGTGCAAAATCTGTATACAGCTACAGCTGGATGGTAAAAAACAGTAAAGCATGAGTCGAGCAATGTTCAAAAGTAAGACTCGAAGCAAATTTGCATCCCTCAGGATAAAGACGCTGTTCTAAGAAGGAGTGAAAGAGAGCTTACCCACAGACTTAAGGTCTGCCATGGGAGGATTTGGAGGGCTGGAATAAAGAAAAGAAGGTTTGACTCTGATGTATGCATTCAGATGGGTCAGCTGGAAGTGTACATATCTGCTTAACAAACTCCTCGTCGTGTTGTTGACCTGCTACCTGGGTTTGGCTTCCTTCAGGATTGCTGGCAGAAGCGGCTTCATGCTGGGAGTTGGCGGGGGCAGTTTGGTAGGAAAAGTGGCTCGTCTCTCTTCAACCGGGGGAGCTGTAGAGACAATACAATGTGTTCCTCACCATCGTGGACCGAATAATGCCTTTTGGATGTGATTTTTCATTAGTAAAGAAGACGTGGTTATTATTACCTGTTTTTATCTCACTCAGCGAAGGCAGCACTGAATTCTGAACGGGAGGAAATAAATATTACTGCAGAGTCACAGTGGTGAGTTTAATTTCCGACGTAGGAAATGGAAGCACGGCGGTAAGAATGAAAACTTCAATTTCTGACTCGGCCTCTATCTTGACAGTCCTACTTTAGACTGGGATGGAGCTTAGCATGAGAAAATGATAAGTCTAAGCGCTGAGATGAATAGACACACTTACAGACTTGGCTCTGGGAACCGGAGGCTTCATCCTGCACAGACAGTGAGATGCTAATTTTTATTGCACGTTTAGCACCAGGAATTCGCAGCATAATGCCACTACTATAACGGCCACATTTGCATTTTGGTGAAAAAAAAAAAAAACAAGAGCATCTTTGTCCGATTGGACAGTGTGGAGCTATGCAGATATGTCAGGTTCATTTATGTCACCACATCAGGTAGTGGGATGAAGTGGGGCACTCACATGGGGATGGAAGTAGGTACAAGAGGTGCCTTGGTTGGTGGAGGCATCCTCGCTGGCTGACGTGGGGCAGGAGGGCAAGCTGAGGAGCAGGGAGAGAGGAAATTATCATTTTTATCACATTCTCCATCATGTGGAAATGAAATCTTGCCGTCTTTTTTTGTGCATGTAGCTGCTGCTGCTGCTGCTGCTGGATGATCACTTCCTCATCAAGCGCTGCTATGCAAACTTGTAATCAACACCTCAGAGCTTGTACAGTGAAGTGTGACCTACCTGCTGTTGGTTCTAAATAAAGTTCATCGCTGTCTTCCTGCAACACAAAAGTGACAAACGGCACGTTAGAGCATATGGGAGCTGTTTTAATGTCATCCCATCATGCAAGTGTGCTTTCACAGCGTTAACTGTTAGCATCTCTGAACTAATGTTAAATGGTCTTTTAAGGCCCTGCAGTGGATTCAAGACCATCAGTGCATTTATGTGCCGTCATAGCTGGCTTAGTAGACAGCTGCATCTGAAATAGATGCTCTGCTCAGTGTGTGTGTAGCTTAACTAGTCTTACAAATGGCCTTTAATCATCAACATGTCCTTGGTTTGTCTTGCAGAAGTGTCTAAGTTCAAGTCACCTGTTCCTCATTTGGATCCAGATACACATCTGAAATACAGAAAGAGGTTGAGAGAAAGAGTTAATGCATACAGTCAAGCACTGGATGTTGTAATCCTGAAGTTCCTTATTGGTTCAGACAACTCAGCAGCAGGGACGCAAAATTTGACATACTTCTGTGTCACTCGAATATTTAAAATTTCTGCACCTGCATTTTTCTACTCGACTAGAGATCAGCAGCAGATGCTGTACTTTTTACTCTACTACATTAAACTTGCAATATACACAGCATTATGTACAGTAATTATAATCAGAACCACCTTTAATAAATGTAAATATGATGCACACGTGACTGCATCAGCATTTACAATTATTCTAATATACTTTGTAGGCCATTCTTACTTAAACCAATGTTTTAGTACTTTTTCTTTAGTACAGTGTTTGAAATCAGGACTTAAAAATTAAACTTAAATATAAAAAAATGCATTATAATAATTACAAGTGGAATCTTAAAACCACAACAAGACAGAGCAGGACAAGACCAAACATAGAACTGCTGATAAATACATTTAGCTTGAAGTAATACAGTGAAAATGTTTAAATTTGAATTATTTAAACATCAGATGTGTTCTGTCTTTCCAGTTTTGTAATCTTGTCTTTCATGGTGAGTTGGATCATCAGGAGAGATGTTCAGAAATCTGTACTACAAAGATGTTAAAACACTACAACAGTGGAGCTCAGAGGAGTCGACTAAGTCTAGTTTGCTTTGGTGTTCTTGCAGATCACTTTGCAGTCAGTTTGCTCATAAGTTTGAGTTTTTGAGGCGCTCTGGGTGCAGCTCAGTGGCGCTACAGTAGAGGGCGCTATCCTCTCTTGTTTCAGTCTCTGCTGCTCAACATATGGCAACTGGCCACTTCTGGTTTATTCAAACTAAACTTCTGTTGCTGCTGGTAACATTAAACACGTCATGAATGTGCACCACGAGGATCCGAGTGCTTAAACAGCTGCATTGATGCCTGATAAACCCAATATTTATTTTAGTATTTCCCGTATCACCTCATGTAGGTATTTACTTCCTTGGAGTGAACAGTGAAAGGCTTATTTGTGTTACTAGAAATGATTAATACTCCACCTTCCTCGATGGGTGCAGGGATTGGAGCAGGAGCAGGGCGACCTGCTGGAGGAGGCATCATCTCCTTCCTCCCAGGCTTCTCATTTCTGTCTATCTCAGGCGCTGGAAGGGAGGAGGATGTGTTTGTGTCACGTTAAAGGAAAAGACACGATAAGGAGTGATGGTTTTACTTTAAAAGAACAAAATAAATGCAGACTCACGTTTCTTCATCGTAGAAATCATAACATTGAGGTTTTTGAATGACACAGGTGAGATTAGTTAGTTCATTCAGAAACAGAAAGTGAAAACGCAGACTTTGGAGGTCACTGAGGTGTTGTTACCGAGGATTTGCTTGGTCTGGGAGGAGGAGGAGCGGCCTGCCTCTGGGGGACAGCAGGACTGGACGTCCGCTCTGCAACATGTAGAGACGGGGTTTTAGAGAAAAGGATGGTTGAAGTAATCCAGCGGTAGAGGAAGGAGTCAGTGATGTTACCCAGATAAATGTTCTCCTCCACTTGTCTCGGTGGGACTTTCACGGCCGGACGCTCACAGGGAGGCGCTTCGTACATGTCGCCTTCCTCGTCGTCCTGCCGTGAGAAAATATTGATTCAAGAAAAAAAAAAAAAGAGTTGCATCCTAATGTGTGTAAGAGTTATTGCCACATTAATTCTGAGACGTTAATATCCTGCAGCCGTGATTGATTGATCGGGGACGTGTCAGGGGTCTACTCCGCCTCTCATACATTATCAACCGGGATCATCTGAGCCCACAGTGAGAAAGGATAAGTGGAACATAGCTGATGGATGGATGGATGCATAGCACCGACACTTCAGTCAAATGAGATCATCACTCACACGACTGAAAGCCCCTTTTGTAGCATTTTGTTTAGAGGAGTTTGAAATTGTCCAGGAAATGTGCCGTTAGTTTTGCATAACCAATGTGAAGAGTCAGTGGAAAGGAACAACAGCTACCACAAAACAAAGCAACAGAGCTTCTGGGAAATGTGGTAATAACCAAACAATGGTCACAGTTTTAACGGTGTGTGTATGAAAAACTGCAAAAACTAAATGAGGAATGTGTGTCTTTGTACTTACAAACTCATCCTGTGGCCACCCAAAGCCTGCATTGTTTTCTGCAACGTGTAGACATGCATGTGTGAGCAGAAAGACAAGAGGCATCGAAACTTATTTTGTCTGAGGTGTAGTTGAGTCTCACCTGTCCTTCTAGGGGGAGCTGGAGGTCCACTGTGTCTGACAGGAAGAGGAGAAACAAGGTTCAGACAATCTATGATGCATCATGCGTCATACAAGAACAAATGGGGTTTGTGTTTCTACTTACAGGTTCTTCAGTTTTCCAAAGAAGCTCTGAAAAAAACCCACCAGAGATCAGAGATGTAATCGGAGATAAGAGGGACACAAAGAGGCAGGTGTGCTGAGGTATTTAAGCAGCCTCTACTTATAAACCGTAGGTCTGGTTAAAAGTCGTTTACTTTTAGTTATCAGCTTCATCTGTCAGCGTGAGTCAGCGGCTGCTGTTTGAGGAAGGTCAAACCGTGACGACAACAATAGAGCTTTATTTGGTGCAAAAGGGAATTTCTACCGAAGTAGAAAACGTCCAGAGTTCTGGGTTCTGCTGTATTTCTAACACAAACCGTAATAACAATAATGTAAATAACACTTTATTACTGTTTTTATGCATGTAAGTATAATGAAAGTGTCATATAACATTAAAAAGCCAAAAAAAAAAAAGTTAAACTTTTTATTCCACTTCATTTATTTGGTCATTTTAGTCACTGTTTGTTTTGCAGATTTGGACGAACGCATGCAGAACAGCATAAGTTTAAAGTAATGTACACATTAAGCATCAAGGATTCAAGGATTCAAGGATTCAAGGCCTGTATTGGTCACAGAGACAGTTATACACGGTGTAACGCACAATGAAAGGCTTTGTGTTCTTGTTCCACACCGACACAATATTAATAAGATGAATAAAAATAAAGAGTAAAACACACAATAAATATATAAATTATAGTATTATCATTTTATTTATTTATTCCATCTCCTTTTGCATTGTTTGAAAATGTGATTTATTTATTTTTGCTTATTTTTTATCCCTCTCTCTCTAAATATATTCAAATAGTGTAAGATTTTGGTTTGATTTTAAAATGGGCCATTCTATTGGATACTTAATTAACGTTAAACGGGGAGATTGCCAGTGTGACCTAGTTTGTCTTACATCCTCGTGAATAATCGTGAGTTATCGACAATTAACTCAAAATCAGGTTTGAAGCAGAAGTCCGTGAACGACGTCGGTTACGTCACAGGGATGTTCACGTGTCGGGATGTGGCGTGAGCAGGTGGAGATCAACGTACATGTCAGGTGAAATCAGGAAGTGGATGTTTTTCCCACAGTGTCATGTAGCCGTGGAGGAAGTGCTGATGCTCAGTAAATGATTACAGAGAGCCAGAGAGGGAGCTTTCTATCTGCCACACCCTGACGCACAGCATGTCAGAAACACAGCTGCTTTACTGTTGATAAGTTAGGAGCAGGTGAGACTTGATAAAAAGAGAACCACGTTGCTATTTATGACCTCTTCGTAACGCCGCAATTCCAAAAATATCAGCATTTTACGGTCGAGTCGAGTTGCAGCGACGGTGTTCTGCTTTGTGTGAGCTGCTACCTGATGTGACTTCTCTCTGAGAGGGGAAATAGTCAGAACCTGTAAAGCCAAAAGAACAAACTGCAGGAAAAAGGAAAAAGGCACGCAACTATGGAGGGAAATTTAATGCAAACAAGGACAAGACACGCAAATGCTTCACAACTCGGACAATAGAAATAGTGTGTGTGTGTTATCACGAGCAGCTACAGGACTGTAATATTCATTTATTAATCTAATTAAACAAGCAGGTGAACGTATTGACTCTATTGTAATGTTTTTTATTTCAAGTTAGTTTTTTAAAGTTTGTTTTTATCGTACAAGGAAACCCTGCAATCACTCAATCAATGAATTGATTGTAGGAGACAAGAGAAGATTAAATTCTGTCATATTACATCAGCTAAAAGGGTCACGAGAGATTTTTTTTGGTATTAAAACCCTGTTAGAAAATACTTCTGTAGCTCAATATCACTTCAACACAACAGTATGTGTGCAGTTTGTGTAACCAAATCAGGTGAAGATGAGGACATAAGTCATGTTCGGGTCATATTCTGACTGTAAAATACATGATTTCTGTGATTCAGTGGTATCTACTAATATTAAAAGTTAAAGTAAAAACAGAAGCCACCTTCAGAATTGGCAGCACAGTGTTTTTTGTATTGGGATTAGTGCATTTCTGCTTTAAATATTGCATGAACGCAGCATTTTCCAAACTCTCTTGTGGTTGTGTTTAGTAAAGAACTTTCTATTTTTGTTATGTGAAAGAAAACTAGTTATATTGCATTGATGTTAACATACAGGTAAGAAGTAGTGGCACCGTTTTGTCTACCTGGAACATGGAAGTATGATTTCTAATTTATTCGTACCACACAAAACTCCAAAATGCACATCAACTAACATCGACTGTGGTTCAGTGTTGTGAGTTTAACATGAAATCTAAGAAATTCAAGCGTTTTCTGCAAAAGCGTGAAGCCAAAAACAATCCTTCCCTCGTCTGACCTTCCACAGGACTTTTATATCGGCGTTGAAGGTAAACATTTGCCTTCAGGTTATCGGTTCGTTGTCTGAGATCTTTTCACTGTTTGCATTCACACTCCCACACAATCACAACTTTACCAGTGTAGCTGCCGTCGTCATACCTTTACCCTCAATCACAACTCTAAAAAAAAACAAACCAACAACAGCAGCCCTCAACTAAAAGCAGCTGCACTGGCTTTCACAACACCTGCTCACTTCCTTCTCATTCCACCCGGTTAACACAACGTGAATGAAAACAGCACAAAAACAAAACGTTACCGTACCATCGTCATGGTTTGGAGTCGAGTCTCGCAGCTCAAGTCATGAAGAAATGTCTTTGCTTCTGCTCTTGGATGCAAATGGTTTTAAAGATTGAAAGCGAGCGATACGGTGAGAATGTGAAGCTGCTCTAACTGACTTCATTTGCATTTCCTACCTGTGCCAGAAACACAGTCGGCTCAGATGTCTGCCTTCACATGAGCCGCACAGCTATGAACGGGATGGTCACGGGCACTCCCTGTTTCATGTGCGTTAGACTCGCAGTTCAACGGAAATGAAAAATATACACGTTAAAGTTCAAAAACACACAAAAAAGAAATCATGCCCTCTGGTGTATGAGAGAGAAAGCTTCTGTATGATGGTCCAGTCATACTTCACAAATGAAAATAGGTTGTGAGATTCAGGTGACTTAACCTGTACCAAGAAGCTATGTCACTTCATTTCCAGCTCGCTGACAGAAAAAGAGAAAGTTAGTATGATTTAAGAGGAACTGAGGTCTTTTAAAAGATACAGATTCAGAACAAAAGTGACGGAGCGTTGTGTTGCTGTGACAGGAATCAGTTTGTGGAACCAAAGAATCAAATTCAATCTTTACGTTTAAAAGAACAAATAAAGCCGGTATGTTGAGGAAATATGTTAATTATTGTAAAGACGAGTAAATAATCATGTCAAATTCTTTGTTTTTGTTGAAGAATATTAAAGACAATAAAGTAAAACGTGGCTATCAGCTTTAAAGGACAGCTATGTCATGTTATTGTTGTTTTTGTTATGAATATCTTGACGTTTATTGTGTTGTTGATGCTTTTTGTAGTTTAAGTTTTTTGTAAATTCATTAGGTAAAGAAAGCAGATAACATCAGATTATTCTTCTTTCTGCTTCAGGAGTTATGAATGTTTGTGTCGTGTTTAATTGTTTTAACTCAATGGATGAAATAAAAAAAATGGAAATAAAAAAATTTTAATTAAAAAAATTTCCAACTCAGAGTTTCATCAGTCATGACCCAGAATGACCCTGACAGTGTTTAAATTTATTCTTATACTGATGAATTAAATAAAGTATAAATTACAAAAGTCAGACACCAAAATATTCCAAATATTATTTATTGACTAAAGGTTCCAGTTGTGGTTATAAAGACACTGACAATAAATAATTCAGCTACACATACATACATGTACCTAAACATGTGAACATCTCTACAAAACAGTGTAAAACACATAAATATTAACTTAGTACAAAACATCTAAAGCTCGGTTTGTTAAGGCGTTAAGTTTTAAAGCAGAACAGATAAAAACAGGTTTCAATATTCAATAATCAGAAAATATACATGTTATATACACGCTGGGCTCAACCCAGGCGTCTGGAGGAGAAGTGATCTGGAGGCACAAAATAATACGAGAACAACAAGCGGGGTTTTACTCTTCCTCTGCTGGGAGGAGATCTCTTTTCTGCTTCCACTTGTCCAAAATGTGTTCAACCAGGCAGAACTAAAGGCTGAAAAACTGCAGGAATAAGCAGAATCTGAACCAGCAGATAAATGTTGTGGTTTGGATGAAGATCTGGAATTTCTCGTAAGCAAATGTGCATCAAACAAATTCAGCCAATAAAGCCTTAAATCGAGCTGGAAACACGGTCTTGACACTAAACTTTTTTTAAAAAATGCCCTTTGAAGTAGCAAACACATCCCTGCCCTGTGCTCAGCTAATGCCTGGAGGTTAAGGAGGGTTCCTCTGGGGTTGTATAAACCTGCCAGACAGAACTCAGGGATGTGCACTTTTTTATTCTCCTATTTTTCTTGTTAACTGGCCAAACCTTCAAGTTTGATGAAAGAAATACCAAAAAAAAAAAAAAAGTACATGAAAGCGTTATCAGGTTCAAAATGGCCCAGAAGGAGGAAGAAGTTCTGGTTCTGTCCGTACATAACTGTCACGTTCAACAAAGTAAGGAGCAGAAAACTTGAGAACGCGGAGCTACACCGAGCAAGACTGAGGTTCTTCTTGTGTGTCTCAGTAGAAGTCATCCTGCTGGCTTAAAACGTCCATCTGTTTGGATGTGGATCCACAGATCAACAGGCTCTCAGAGACCAGTGGACGTCCCTGTCTACCTTCCTAATGACGAGCATATCTGTTTCACCCACTCTGGTTATGGGTACGGTCATCCAACAACATCCTCTCTGCAGTCTCTTTCACTTTAGACCGTGCTTCCTTTAATCTTGCTGTTGATCCAGTCGATGTAATGGGTGACGCGGGTGTAGACGCCGGGCTTGTCCTTCTGCCCGCAGCCGTCGCCCCAGCTGATGACGCCCATCAGAGTCATCCGGTCGTTGTTTCGGCAGACCAGAGGACCACCAGAGTCTCCCTGTAGAAGAGAGAGCGAGGAAAAATCAGATCCAGTAATGTCAGCAGCATTGATTTAACGAGGAGGTTGGGGTATAAATCTCACCTTGCAGGCGTCGTCCAGGCCTCGAGTGTCTCCGGCACACAGCATGTTGGAGGTGACGGTGCGTCCGGACAGCACATCTGGGATGCAGCGCTCTTTGGGCCACAGGCGGACGTGACCTCTCTTAACGCGATTAGAGTACTCTGCAGAAACTGTGGACAGAATGACTACATTAGCGCCTCCTGTCCATAAATACATCCACTGGGGGAAATGCTTGATGTACACTGCCCCCTGCTGTTCAGTCAAGCAAAGTGTCGACAACTTGCTAGTGAGATACAGAAGGTGTCGTAGAAAAGTTTACATCATGGCAAACTCCTATAGCTCTAAGTTTCCATGGTGGACTCATCTAAATCCATACATCTGAAATCATGGATTTTAGTTCTTTCATAGCGTTTTGACAGGTCTTCTGGAAATATGATAAAATCTGTTGGGTCAAAACTACACATACATTATTTGGTGTACTGCAGCTAGGTGCTTTTGGTAGCCGTCCATAAGCTTCTGGTTGAATCTTTGACCTCCTCTTGACAAAATTGGTAGTTTTGTTAGTTTTTCTGACACAGACTTGCTTCTTCATCACAGTCCACAGGTTCTGGATGAGGTTTAAGTCAGAACTTTGGTACTAAAACCTTAATTCTAGCCTGGTTTAGCCTTTTCTTTACCACTTTTGATTGTGTTTGGGGTCAATATCTTGTTGGAACACTTGGGCGAATTATGTGATGTGTTCTTTAAGACCATAATACTACCACCACCATGCTTGGCGGTAGTTGGAGTTAAAGGCCTCATCTTTCCTCCAGAAGACCTTTTCTTTGTTCATGTGATCAGCAGGAAACTTTAACCTTAAGGTGCCACTTCATGAAAGTAAAACACATTCGACTGTGGACACTGACAACTGTCTTCCAGCAGCTTCTAGTTCATTGCAGACCTGCTTTTAGGTGATTCTTGGTTGAATCTTGACCATCTTGACCATCTTGACCAGTTATCTCCCAGTAGCAGGTGACTGACACCACTGTACCATGCACTTTATACTAACAAATGTCTTCACAGATGGTTTTAGGATCTGTAGCTGCTTTGAAATTTGGATGGAATTGAATTTCTTGACTTGTTTAATTCAATGATTTACTCCTCAGACTGTCCCACTGTAGTGTTTGTGTCTTAGTCTAGTGGATGCATTAGATGTGCCCTAAACTGTAGTCAACTGTACTCAAGAGAAGTTAAGAGGGAACATTTGATTAACACAACTTTCAGCATCACCCAAACTGGTCATTCAAGTTGCTGTATGTATATTTTTGACCCAGCAGATTTCATCTCATTTCCAGAAGACCTTTAATAAATCTATAAAGAACCAAAATGCATGACAACGAATCCATCATAGAAAACTCAGAGTTATAGGAGTCACTGGAAATTCAAGACCGTTATAGATAAAATGCCACGAATTAGCTGCAGCGTCTGCTTACATTCTGCTTCTTTTCCGTAGCCTGAGATCTCACACTCGGTCCAGTCGGGCAGCACCAGCCCGCGGTCGGGCAGACACGCCGGAAGAACCTCTGGAGAGTTTACAGCACAGATGCCAATGTCCGTCTGCAGCTTCAAAATAGCTGCAAGTGGAAAGTGACCAGAGGAAAGTCAGGGTAATGCGCTGGGAAAATGTGGGATGAAGCCTGAGGGATGATTTAAAGCTTTAACAAGCCTTCGCGGCCCACTTAAGCTTCCATATCGTCAGCGCTGGGGGGGAAACGTGGCAACTGAAGTGTTTGATTCTGTTTTCATTATTCATCGGACCAAACTCTGTTTCTGATTTCTGTGACTAACATACATGAGGGGGCGATATATTAGAAACAGTCTTTAATGTAATGAAGTCCAGTACAACAGCACCACCCACGGCCACCTCAGTGATAAACACCAAATAAGATCATGACCTTTCAGATAATTGGAAATGTACAAGCTTCATGAAAGGAAAAGTTCCAGGCAATAAAATTAAAAGACTGAAGAAAGGAAAGGAATAAAATGATTGTCTTCTTAATGAAACTTTCACTCACCGATGTCATTGTCGAATGTTTCGTTGTCGAACTTCTCGTGGATCCAAAACTTCTCAACCCTGAAAATCTGCTCGCTGCTGGAGTTCTGTTTTCGGAACGTTCTTCCCAAAATCACTTCCATGTCTTTTGCTTTATCGCTGAAAAAGATCAGGAATATATTAGCATGTTGCATTGGCAAACATGTTGTATTGTGTATTTTGTGTGTGGATGTGTTTAGACATCCTGTTGGATTTCATTCCTACCTGTCGGTGAAGCAGTGAGCAGCAGACAGGATCCAGCAGGAGTCGATGAGGACCCCTCCGCACCGGATGAAGTGCTTCTTGTGCCGGGCCTGGTAGACGTTAATGACCGCCTGCCACGGCTGCTCCGTGATGTCGCTCTCTCTGCCTCCGAACATGCGGAACGCCGGACGATTCAGGGTGTTGTCCAGACGCTGGCCACATGTAGCTGCAGAGGGGGACAGGTTGCAGGATGGCGGTTAAATAGCAGTAAAACTATAACGTAAGTAGACTTTTAGTTAAGTTTGAGGTTATCTTTACAGGATGTGAGGATGTCCTACCTCCGTTGTTATTGTTATTAGTGGTGGGAGCACGTGGGCCGAGAGTGGTGATGATGGATGGACGTCTCGCTAAAAGAAAAGTACAGTTAGGCTGATTGCATGTTGCTGTATGCATGATTTCAATTCCTAAATGAACTTCAACCATCAGCCTACATAAAAGTAAACCACAGAAATTTGGGAACTCACAGCATTTAGGTATGTCACACAACTCCCAGGTCAGCTGCATGTTTTTGTAAGTGTGACACCACGGACCTGCATCACCGTCTGGATTCCTGTTGGATGAAGGAAGATTCATTTAAAATCTGTGGTCTTTATTCACACAGGAAAGTAATACACTAAAGATCACCGGCATCTCTACCTGCAGAAACTGTGGCTGCCCAGCCCCAGCTCCAACGCATCCGACCTCCAGGCGTTGTTGAGTTTGCGTCTGACGGCGGGCGAATCCCACGGGAGGCAGCGAGAGCCGCTCTTGGTCTCAGACGCTGTTCCTCTGTACGACTGACCAGAGCCCTGAACACATTCTCTGAACCGATCTGCTCCAAAACACACAGAAACACAAGTGAGTGAATGTTTATCTTGTGCTATTTGGGCTTTTAATGTGATAGTGTTTGTGAATCTGTACCTTCAGGGCATTTGGGCAAAGAGCAGAACTCCCAAACAATCTGAGTGCCTTTGTAGATGTAGCACCAGGGAGTGCTGTCATTGTCGGGGTTCCTGAGGGGCAAAATGAAAGGTGAGAACATTGCATCACATGAAGCGTCTTTGCAAGTGTTTGGCAAAGTCTGTAAGAGTTTTGCAGCATCTCCTTTCTTAGTGTTTCTTCTTTCTTTCCTGTTCTGTGAACTTTTGCCTTCTTTCCTGAACCTCTAAACCCTGCTGTGTGTCATCAACCTCTGCCCGCCTCTCTGATCTTGTGGCTTTGTCTCAGAAGTGCTCAGAGCTGTTTCGTCTTATACTCGGACTATACATGTGCATATGGTCCCATGGCCACCAAGGGGCCTCGGCACGCTGACGTATTTTCTTTCCACTCGAATATAAATTGCCACTTTCGATAATAACGGGCCTCTGGACTGTCACAGTGTGCAACAATCGTCGTCCTGCCCTCCAAATGTAAGTCTGCTCTGGGTGTAGTTTCCAAATACTGGCCTCAGTTGGTTAGAGAGGGACGCTGCTCATGTGGAGGTTGTGAGTTTGATCCCTGTTAGTTGTTTTTCTCCACACGCTCTGCTTGACGTACATTCTGCCTCAATCCCTCCTGTTTTCACAGCATGAGGCATGTTGTTGTGTTCGAGGGTGTTATCACTCTGGATACTCACACCCAGCTCAGTGCAGGCAGAACCACGGCTTCATTGTGTACCGGAGATATACGTCTTTTATTTGCTAATATTTTATCGTCAATGTTTCAGCTAAGTTCATTAAATGTAAGTATTTCTGGATAAGAAGTAGCATTTGGTCTCTTTTGTATGTATATAGAATATGATGCTGGTTTGAAATGGGCGCGAGGCAGAAAGCTAGAAACAGTCGTGGTTTGAGTCCAAAGTCTGGTAAAGTGAGTTTTTACAAAGCTTCCTGTCTTGCTTTTGGGAATTTTCACCTTCAGCCTTGATGGTGAACAAGTCAGATCCCACCCTTGAACTAATCGCTAGGACACAGATCAAATCTACATGAAGCTGCTGCATACCTGCAGAAGTTGTGATTGCCCAGCCCAAGACTGTTGGCGTCCACTTTAGTAGCGGTGAACCTCCTTCCCCTCAGAGACGTGGAGTTCCAGTTGATGCACTCTGCTCCTGAATGGCTGATGCTCCATGTGCCGCGGTAGCCTTCGCCCTGCCCCACCGCACACTTCTCATTGGTGTCTGTTGGAGAGAGACAGTCATGGTCATATGAGACTCATATATTACATAAGAAGTAAAATTTCCATAATTTGTCCAACATATTTTGAATGTTCTCAGTTTTTCCAGATTGAATAAACACGCTTTATTGTGTCAGAGTAAACGAATTAGGTCAGTCATCAGGGTGATATCAAACTCACAACTTGCGTCCTAATGGTCTTTATATCGCAGCTCCCCAATTAGTGGTTGAAAACAATGACCCAAACATAAACTATGATGATCGTAAATGCAATCAGATTTATAGTCTGGCCATATTAACTCCTCAGTCTTTTGCTAGAAAACCACTTGGCTGTGACGAACGGGGTTCGGATAATTATCCCACTGGGAGGGTGGGGTGTCCCTGCAGCCGCCGCAGAAACAAAAACATTCATAACCCAGAATGTCTCTCCATCGTTTATGGTCCTTTCTTCTTTGCTCCAAACCACAGGCCAGTGACACCAACTGCATGAGTCACACAGTCAGACTGTGACCTTATCAAGAGTCACTAACAAGATTTAATCAGTGTTGTGTCACAGGCCACTTGTTTGTGTGTGTGGCTGCATTTATGCAAATGCTAGACAGTGAATAAGATGCAGAGCGTTGCAGCGCATGAAGACTAAACAAGCGGTTGAGATGAAGTAAGTCAAGGAATTGATTAGTCGATCGGATGATTTGGTCACTATTCTTTCTCAAGTATGAATTTTTTTCTTTTTTCTCTCTTTTGTTATTGTGGTTTTGCTTAAAGTACGACTTCACTCTGGGCAAATTATCTTCATATTTCTCTACAGTTTTATTGTTTTACAGATTGAACAGGCTATTTAATAATGTTGCACGGATTAAAGTGTATCTAGAGTACTTACTGATCTCACACTGAGTCCCGCTGAAGCCTGGAGGACACTGGCAGATGTAGTCTGATGTGTAGACGGCCTCCTTACAGGTTCCTCCGTTGTAGCACTGAGACACGTAGCAGTCTGGAAGAAGAAGAGCAGTTTAGTCAGTCATGCGTCATCCAGCTCTTACAAATTTAAATAATCACAATGTGATTGATTGGCCTCGACCACTCGTGTAAACAGAGAATTCAAACTGTGGCTTCGACCTGCTGTGTCACATTTGGTGTCGAAACACTGAGGATTATGCAAAAAAAAAAAAATCTGCATCCATCCTGAGTCTCTTCTTGCTTCTCTTTTGAAATATCATGTCACGCCAAGGATTTCTTTCTGGAGCAGAACTGGTTGCATGCCATCTGCAGCTCGGTTTTTCATTTATTATTTCAACATTTCCTAAAGGCCTGCGCTCAGAATAACAGCACCCCTCTCACTCCCAGCAGCATGAGCTCACACATGTCGCAGACTGAAAACGTGGTTGTAATTTGTCTGAGGGAGGGGTAGTGGTGCCTCACAGAGCCGGTCAATGTGGGTGAAAGTGCGCACGAGGGGGGCCGGCCTTGGCGAGAGCATTTCGAATTATCTCAGACTAAACTACGCCCACCCAAGAACACAGAAACCCAACGGCTCTTCGTTTGGATGCTCTGGGGTTTGGACACAAGAGCGAGGGAAGCCAATGAAAAATAATCATCTGAGGTCGTAACAGCAAGTTAGAGGTGAAGTGGAGGCATAATGACAGACAGAGAGGTCAGCAAGGGCAAGCGAGCAGACTGACGGACAAATTAACGGACAGGAAATCAGATTCTGCTCATTGCAAATTAAAAAAACTCTGAATGGGAAGACAGACAAAAAAAGAAAGACAGTCTGCTTGTGTTTGTCACACTCACTGATGACGGGTACAACATGACAACGCTCTCGTCCTCTTAACGCACAACGGCAATACTCCACACGCTGTCCCCTCCATCGCAGCCACGTGTCGCCATAACTACGCACTGCTGACGTCTCACTATCCACACAAAGTACTGAGGAAACACACACACACACACATAAACACAAACAGTAAATAAACACAAACAATGGTAACTATCAGGCTGCTACAAACACGACTGAACAGAAACAGAAAACAACACAAATACATGACTGACATGCAATGGATTAACAGACTGTGATGATGATGATGGTGATGGTGAAGGTGGTATTAGAGAAGGTAAAACAGAAGTGTGATGAGGCTCACAGGAGGTGTCAAAGGAAGGTGAAGGTGACTTCTCGACATGAATAATCAAAAGCGTCCGTCTAGTTGGCTGCCTGACAGGCTCACCTCTGTAAAAGCGAGTCCCTCTCTTAGCGCGGAGCAGCTCGACCTGCAAGAGAAACGACGCAGCGAGTTAAACACACAGCAGCAGCAGAGCGTGAGGTCTGGTTGAATGCATCGGTTTCCAAAGCGGGCAGGCAAATGCTTTTATGTCATTTCTTTAGAATACTGCAAAAATAAACTTGAAACTGGCGTCGCGTAGAGAAGGACAGTCATAATGTCAGTCAGATATAACTTGTTGGTGGAAGTGCTCCATTACAGTGAGCTTATGAGCTATAAAGATAGAAATAAAATGAAAAATCAAGCTTTTTGTTTTAAAACGTTGCTCAATTCTGCACCGTTATGCAACAGAAACACAAATGCAAACACGTTGACATGACTGAATGTTTGCTCAGATGGGTTACTAACCACAGGAGTTGGAATGCATTAAGATAAGCCCTCGTTAAGCGTGTAGGATTTGTTTCAGTTGGAAGGACCTGCAGGCGGGGATGTTTTGTAGTACTTACACTGTCCGCTAGGCAGCAGCAGAGAGCAGAAAGGAGGAATAATGCTTCAAGTGATCTGGCCATGGCCTTAGAGGTGGTCTTTAATTCACTGAAAGCAGAAGAGAAATGCATATTAGAAGACAGAAAGTTCAATACATTTGTTCAGTTTTTATGGAGATATCAAAGACAAAACCAAAACTACGATAATCATCAGACGAGCTGGCCTTTAGTAAATAACAGATCAGAGATAGCGTTCCTTTATCAACCACTTCAACACTGTTTTAGACGAAAAAAGAATAAGTGATATACAAGTTATGAATGACAAACACTTGAAGTCGTCATAGAGGTTGTAGATCAGTTTTATGAGGGTGTTGTCACTATTTACGAGTCCTTTCGTTGCACAACCGTCGTGACACATGCTAACAGATGTAAACACTGGCAGCTGCGCAAAAAACTGACACGAGACAACTTTGCTCAATGTCAAAAAAGTGATTTAGAAAAGATTTGGAGAATCAAACCAGGGCGTGAACATTTATCAAACTCTTGTCTTATGAATCTGTCATCAATACAGATTCAACAATCACAGGAAACCTATCCATATTAGTCACCGTGTCTCAGCTGGACTGTTTCTCTGTTCAGCTTCCTTCCTCCGTCCCTGTCGCTACTGAAGGGCACCTCTGGAGAGGAAAGGGTGGACAAGGTGGGGTCGCTGTGGGAACCTGGAGGTCATTTCTATGCTCTTGAAGCTGAGCTGACTTCTTGACTCAGACAGGAAGTTTAAACAGCCTCTGCAGGGTTGTCTCACAGGAGGCTGCATGAGTTCAATAAGTTTGTTGCCCAGCTTAAAGTCATTTCCCTGATTTGTTTTCTTGTTGCTCTCCCCCTCCTTTAACTCAGTCACACACCGTGAACCAATCCAATTTATTCATCTAAACAGGAAGCAGATTATCTAAAAATGAAACCACTACATCAAACGACACAATCTGGACATCGCTGAAGCGATGAAAGGCGGCACGGCAGAAGAAAGTTTGTGACAGAATTCCTGTTTTAACAGCTGCTGTCGGGGAATGAAGTGACTCAGGACTGTAAAAGGGAAGTGTGATGAAACGGTACAGAAAGTCCAGCGCGAGAGAAACTCCTGTTTATCTTTGAAGACGTTTGATATCAGACTTGTTCCTCTTCTGCTGTGAAAGAATCCTATTATTCAGGAAAGATGTGAAGAGGAGTGTCTCTCGCCCTTCAATCAAGTGTGAGTAAACATGAGTCAGGACAGAAGGAGGGGGAAGAAGGGGCAGAGAGGAAAAGAAAGTTGGACACAATGAGGGCTAAAAAAAATATCTCTACTTCAAGAACCTTAAGTAAAAATAACTTTAAAGAACTTCCCCTGCAGAGACACGCATGCAACGAGCCCGACACGCAGGACAAACCATCTGCATGCATGTAATTTCTGCATTCTGCCCTGTTGTTGACTGCTTCTCCACTGACTCATGTGTTGTGGTTGACTGGGCTAATAGAAACCGGCGCTGTGTTTTGATATATTGGGGATGTAAAACACCTACGCTGGCAGCCACAGACTCACACACACACACACACACACACACACGACATGCTCAGGAACGTGGAGCTAATCAACAGTCCAACATTTACACTTCACCGCGCTCTTTGTTCATTCAAACAAAGGCTCCCTCTTGGGATTTTTTACTTATTCAACACTAACACAAGTTCAACACACTCACCATTAAGAGGACAGGTCCCTTGGAAGCTCTCCTTCGCTTACACGAATAGAAAAAACCCTTGCTGTCCTTTTGCTTTCACCCCCCCTAATGGAGCCTCACTGGCAGGGCGACAACAGCGCACTAGTTTTCTTTTTGTTTCCTTTGTGCAGCTGTTGGGCTCCGCTCAATGCAGCCCTGTCAGCTAAAAACATGTGTTTCCTGCTCAAACACAGGCCCCCGCGCAGTTCGGAAACGTGCTCACATATCAACACATGCACACAGACACAAAAGCGACAACATCAGACGCCAACACATGTGTATCCCACCCTGTTTTTTAAAAAGTCTATCTGACATGCAGAGGCCCAGTTTGGGTGCCATCAACGCGGCTCCTTTTACAGTTGGCCCGAGGTTCAGCTGTGTGTTTGCGGTCTGTTTTACATGCTTGGGGGCAGACATATAGACACAAACTAAACATGCAAATGGCAATGTCACTTTTATGGGATGCAAAGTAAAACCACTTTTGTGCTTCACTTATCTGACGCTTAAAATCTTTTTGTTTCAATGTCAGAGGCTTACTGGAACTGCTGGAAAATAAAGAAGTGTCTGATTTGAACGTAACTTTAGCTGGAAATTTCTTTTTCTCGGGTTTTCGGTGAAACTCGCAGCAACTATGGGTCTCATCATGAATTTTTTAAAAAAGGGGGAAACGCTGATCCAGTATAATTACACACATTTACCAAGAAATGGATCAACAGTTCTGAAACTGTAGAGGTTAAGGGTCAAAACCAAGAATGTTTAAAAAGCATCCTAACCAATAATTAATCCACACAATAGGCAGCTGTTTGGTGAACTCTAATTTACAGAAATCAGCTCATAAGCGTCCACACAACTGGCACTGACGGGGTTAAAGCTTTTGTCTGCTACACCCAATCCGTTAACAGTTGGAACATGTAGACTACAACCAAGTATGCAGCCCCGAGGAGAGCGGTGGTTTCCCTTAGTTAGTGGGTCAAATATGAATGGAAGAACTGAAAACATCTTTGGAGTAACCGCAGCCAGACTGTGACTCACAGCAGCAGTTTCAAGATGCAGCACTTTTAGTCCAAAAGCAAAAACACGTGCAATAAGATGATAAGGCACACAAACGCACTCGCACGCGCTCCCTTTAAGTCCAGACCTGAGCGTAAATGTTCCTATCGGCGTGCTAAAACTGCTCCTAAATGCTGGACGCAAGCTTTAGCATCTTAGCGGCGGACCATTAGCGCAGACGTGTGAAGGTGACGGAGTGCTGAGGTTGTAGAGTGTGCAGGAACATTATTATGGTTTTCTGTGCACTTTAAAGCATCTTTTAAGGTTATTTTTTGTATTTTTCTCATCTGTGCAAATGTCAGCATTAAGATTTGAGATCCTCTGAAGAGGAAGTGGCAGACGAAACACCTTAACAGTGAGCAATCCGGCACATTTATGGGCCAATTTTTGGTTTCTTAACATTATTTCCTGGAAAGCTCAACATCTGGGGGAGCGTAATTCTGTTCCTCTTCTCCTTGATTGGTTTTCAACATCATAACCTGCTTTGAACTGGTTTGACTTGCTGGAAACTTTTACAATGGCTTCAGTTTAGGCGTTGTTCCTCGATTTAGGAGGTTTGTGCACGTGCGCGTTGTGTCGGTTGATGATGTGTTATGACATGAGTTGCTAAGTAAGCTCCTTACACGGCATTAGGCATTCTTTACTCGGGGGTTTTCAGCCAAGCCTCAATTAACCAGCTGTGATCTGGCTCTGTGAAGTCCCAAAGAACACAGAGCAGCATTGTTGCCTTCCAGCTTGCCTCTGTGAACTCCTTATCAGAAAGAAACACAAACTCATGAAGCCAAAAGGCAGGTGTTGACACTAGAAATGCAGATAATGGAGCACAGGACGGCGACGTGGAGGGAGATGAAAGGATGGAGAAGAGAACAGAGAGAAAGGGGAGAAGGAGAGGAAAGGAGAAGAAACCAAATCCCCAGAGGTCAGCACAAAGAGAATGAGTCGTCCTGAGTCATCCCAGCTTCCAGGACCGCAGAGACAGACGGAGGCATTGATGTGATGTGGAGCCCCCGTAAAGGCCATTAGACGTAAATACCGCTCAAACCACTCGTCAGATAGCGACGTGAAAGAGGAGGTTTTGTGTGAAAAATCAGCAGCCACGTGATGCATTTTTCACTCTCGAGGGATTCGTCGTCATCTATTTGGCCGTCGTTCCCACAGTCCGATCCGGCAATCCTCTGTTTGACCTGCTCTTAAACTAAAGCTCTAAGACTCAACCCGCTGATCCTGGGAGTGAGCACGCTGCCAGGAATGCAGAGAGTAGATACAAACTCTAGTTTCTCTCAACATACAGTGTATCAGAGTGATGGAGACTCTCAGCGCTGACGGATACCAGAGAGGAGAAAATCCAGCTCGTTGGCCTGATAAGAGGCCAGTGATCCAGAAATCCCCGTGTGGTGGGATATTCCTCGATAACACACATAAACACTGAGTCCAGCCAGACGAGGACAGTATCACCATGTTCTTTAAACAGCTGAAGACGCACAAACTGTTAATTAACTTTCCGAGAATTAAGCAGTGCTGGAGGGGAAGTTACACTCCCAGCAGGGTTTAAAGTGTTGTCCGACACTTTAGCTCACCTGGTTGAGCTGGCCACCCATGTACAGGGACTATAGTCTCCGGCCATGGGTTCGAATCCCACTCATGGTCCTTTGCTGCAACACATTCCCCCATTCTCCTCACCCCTTTTCCTGTCTCTCCTTCAACTATCCTATCTAATAAAAAAGGGCCAAAAAAAAAACTTAAAAAAAACAAAGTGTTGGGATGCCAGATGAGTGAGCACACACACACACACACACACAAGGGGATGCAGAATCACTCAGTTTCTCTTCCTCACACAGCTTCTGTGGAACCACACAGGCTGGGAAACTACCACCAAACTGAATGCAAAGTGGCACAGAAAGAGGAAAAGTGCATGACTGAATTGTTTTACCAAGTTAACGGTGCTTTGAATATGTAAATGTCACTGATTGGTTTCGTTTTTCAGCTTCTAATAAGAATATTTTTTTCCTCCAAATGAGATCATCCAGCGTTACTGATTCCCCTTGACAGCCGTGCAAACTGTAAAATTCATTTTTTTCCTCCTAAGGTTGTCTCATAAAATCTACAATCTTACATTATAAAGATGTATAATATTCAGGACGCAACACAGTGAAAACTGTAGTTGCTGCAGCAGAAAAAACATCCTGATGCGCGAACATCTACAGAATGTACCGCATCCGATTAAAACAAAAGCAAGTAAATGCTCTTACCAGACGTGAGATCTTCTATTCCTCTCGGTGTCTTTGCAGTTGCAGTACTGTCAGTGTCGTTTTGTGTGAGTGACTTGCCGCTCGGTCTGCTCTGGTCGTCCCTCTGCTGCCAGTTTTTATCGGAGCGCTCCGGTGCGTAAAGGGGGAGGGCTGCTGTGACCTCAGCGGGAAAGCTTGGCTCCTGGCCGGGCTGGATGATGATGATGATGGAGGTGGTGGTGATGATGCAGGGCTGCTGGGCGGGACCGTCCCCTAGAGCTCCAGGAGCAGACGAGGGCAAATCACACAGTCGTAGGTCGATATGATGTATTCTGAGACAGATTCTCAGGAAAAATCTTCGGCCATCATTTTCGGCAACAGTGAGACATCAGAAAAACAGCAGCAGTAACAACAACAATACAAACTTCATTTAATATTTTCTGTTATATATGGACATATACTGAGTGTTTTATATATATAATAGGGTCAGGATATGTTTTATATGACATTTTTTCGAGGCATTTCGTTATATGGAAGAACAAATAGTCAACCAATGCTAATAAATGTAATTTTATTCAACATTTATTTAAGTTTTATTAACAGGAGAATCTATTTATTGACACAACACACAGGTACATGGTAGTGTAAGTACAGAAAGGAGATTATAATCTAAGTTAGAGGCACAAAACTGAATAAATAGAACAATATTTAGTGTCCTAAGAGGACAAATTACACACTTCTAGTTTAAAATGATGTATTCTGAGGCACATTTTCAGAAAAATCTTCAGCCGTTGTTGTCGGCAATAGTGAGACATCAATAAAAAACCCATAGCAACAATAAAAACTTAAATAAATGAATGCTTTTGTTTGTTCTATATGAACATACACTGGCTGTTATATATATGATAGAGTCAGTATGGACTTTAAAAAAAATTTTGTTATATATGAGGACACACAATCAATTAAGCTGTAATTATCTGCAAGAAAATATTTAAAAAAACATAATTTTATTCAACGTTTATGTAAATATAAGATATTATTAAGAGGAGAATCTATTTATTTATACATGTAATGGTCGTGTACATGTAGACAGGAGAAGTTATTGTTATTATAATCTAAATTAGTGGCACAAAAACTAAACAAATAAAAGTAGATATAACAATATTTAGTATCCGGGGAAAAGCAACTGGACTTCTCTTTTTTGGAAACGACCTGGATGACTGAGAATCTACACCAAACTTTTCTTTTATCATAAATTGTGATTTTTATTTTTTTGGCTTTCAGAGTTTGATTTTTTAACTACCATCTACTGGAGCCTTTAAACAGACTTTGGCAGGTGTTGGCAGCACACAACTCTGCTGTACCATTAACTTTTAATGCTGTCAGTGTCGGTGACCCGTATCCGTCTGCGTTGGGCTGCGGGTGGCACCGTATCTGTGCGGTTAACCAGCTGGCACCAGGACTCATTGGAGTCCCTTTATTCAACCCATCCCTTCCTCAGGAAATCACTCAACTCAACCTCAAGAACAGCACCATCTTTTTTCTGAGAGCCACAGCAGTTTTATTTGCATGGAATAATTCCTGTTCATTGTTTTTACTGTCTGTTTAACTCCGTATTAAACAGCCGAGAAGGCAGCACTCTGGGATGTAACGGCTGAGGTCGGTTAGTTTGGCGTCTCTCCACTTTGTGTTCATCTGTGTTAGATTAGAGCTCTCGAAAATCACACACAAACACACACACACAGAGTTGTGAATACTACATTAAAAATGCAATCTATTACTTAATCAGAAAGTTATGCACTACATGGGGTTGTACCAGGGGTCTTATCTCGTTGAGTTACTGCCCCCTCATCCCACAGAACATGAGGTGCATCAATCACTTCTGCCCATTTAAAACATTCCTCCTCCTCCCCTGTGTTGAGTGATTAAAAATTCATCTCACTTGGCCTTAATTTGACTGTCTGGCATTTACATTTTGCAATAAATGCCAAGACATTTGCAAATTCTGTGGAGGAATTACGGTAACTAGACAAACCGCCGTTTTAAACATTTTTGTTCTTTGTCTTTCTGTGTGGGTGAATGTTTTCACAACTCGTTGAGCTCACAGTCACCAAATCTGTAATCAAAGTATCGAGTGTCACTTATTACGAATGTACAAGAACCTGTCTTGGTGAATGTTAGGCACAGACACAATTCAGAGTTTCCTATCTGACGAATGAAACTTTTAAAAATAGCCAAAAAAAAAAAAGAGGATGTATATATATATTTAGCACGGTGCAAGTTTTAGGCCTGCTCAGAGTCATTTGTTTAATTTTGGATGAAGCTAAATAAGTTGTGTGGAGACAGTCTATGACATAACCGTATAAGGCCACACTTTACTCAATTTTAATGGATTAAACCAACAAGGTAAACCTGTTAATTAGCCAGAAAATGTTCTGGGCTGTTTTCCACAGCAGGAACCTGTGGGCTGTTTCAGGGCCGCCTGAAACTTTACACATGTTTTAGTGAACCGAAACAGCATAGAAGCTCTGGCAGGGCTGGTTTCAGGAAAGAAAAAGGTGTCTAACCCTAACCCTAACCCTCCAGGGCTGGTGCTTCTGAAAGTACAAAAGAAAGAAGGTTCAGGTCCAGATGCTTATAGGTTAATACTCTGATATCCTTTTTATTCCTTGTCCAACATGCGAGCTTAACAGCAAAACTCACTGTATAGGCCAACATAATAAACCCTCCATTGTCCTGTTTCCTGTGTGCTCATAGAACTACAATTACCTCCAGGAGCTACTCTTTGTTAGTCGTCATGGTCGAAGCTCTTGGATCCTCCACTGCAGCGGAAACAAGAAGACTGAAAGGGCCGAGAACCGGTCCAAGTTCCTGCAGTGGAAAGC